TTTTAATTTTTTTTTCAACAACACCAAAAAAATATTTTTTAAAAACCCCCCCAAAAACATTTATCGTTTAAACCTTTAAAAAATTTTATAACCCCCCCCCCCCCCACCCTCGAAAGTTGACTTCCTATTTACGGCCCTGGTACATACCAGACTGGTTCCAAAAGATATTCTCAATCCTCTTTCAACTGAGATCTCTTTCTTTTAGAAGTAAAGAAAATTAGAACATTCTAGCAAAATAGTATGGGACAATCACAATCGTCAAAGTTTGACAAATATTTTAGTTTAATATGTACAGATAATGTTGATGAATTACGTAAACAATTAAACTCTCTGACAAATGAACAAGCGAATCTTATCTGTAATTTGCATGATATTGACAAAGGAACGGGTACTACGCTGTTGATGTATGCCGCATTCTATGGTAATGCATTGATATGCAAATTACTAATTGACAATGGAGCAAGTAAAGTTAAATTAGATTGTTCAAAACGAAATGTATTATATTATTCCATTGCTGGACAATCCTATAATGTTGCCAAATATTTGATGGATACATGCGATGCAAACACAAAACAAACATTTATTAATAACATTGATCAAAATAATGAAACTGCGTTACATGAAGCGGTTAAAACTCAAAATTTACATTGTATAGATCTACTACTAATAAATCATATTGACGTCAATGTTCTCAATAAAGGTGGTATCAGTGCATTACATATAGCAGTTGATTTAGGTATGATCTTCTGATATTCGAAAATTGATTAATTTTTAGTTTCTATTTGTTTTAGGTAAAGTTGATATTGTTCGACTACTATTAAAACATAAAGCAAATCCGAATACAAAAGATTCATCCAATTGGACACCTGTACATGTGGCATCTGCGCATAATGATTTAAACATTCTCCGTTTATTGTTGAGTCGTGGTGGAAAAGTAAATATCACAGATCAATACGGTCAAACACCATTACAATGGGCAAGAGAAACAAAATCAAAAGATGTTCTTCATTACTTGAAAAAAATTGGTGCTAAAGAATATACCAGTAGTATATCACTCAGTACTGGTGCAGCCACGCCATCAATACCATCAATAACAACTGAACATCACCCGCACTCGCCTACTCATCATCATCCTCATCGTAGAGGGAAAAAATTATCGAAAACGAAAGCGACGAGTAACGATGACGAACAAATGGCTGAATGTATGACACAATCTCCATCAACTGGAGTTCAACACAACGCATTGAAAGGTCGATTAAATCAATATAAAAGTAATAAAATGCAAACGTCTATAGGTGAAGAAATGGATATTGAACAATAATCAAACAAATTCTTTTTTTTTTGTATATTAGAAAAACTTCTGTTGCTAATTTTTACAATTTCAATGATTTAATAAACAGTTTGTCTATAGCGTAATGAAGTTAGTAAAGCTCCTCAGCATCGATCACAGTATTCCAAATCTTACCATAAGTTATTTAATTCATTGATCTATGCAACTCAGAGAACTTAAGCTCAATCTGATCAAACTTTCTTTCCCAACCAAAACTAAAGTATGTATACGTCTAATACCTCTAGAATTGCTTTATCGCCACTTTGTAAACCTTGACTAAGTAATGTAACGAGACTGTCAGTTGTCGGAATTTGTGAATTTTGTCCATGCAATTCAGCGGCATTTAATCGTTCAGATAATGGTACCTAAAAAAACGAGAGTAGAATTCATCGAGAACTTAGTTTATTGCACGACTGTATCTGATAGGGTTCTGTCATTATAATATATCGCTACTATACCGTTATTCGCTCAAATTTTTAGCAAAAACTGACTCTACTTAGAATCACAGAATATAACTCAACCATTTCTCTTCCTGTTTGACTTACTTCTGTTTGAATTATTTCTGTTGCTGTACGTTTTATTGTTTGTTGCTTATTAAGCATATTTGGTTGAGAAATTGTTTGAGTTAACACAGTGGCATTTGTGGACTTTGTTGCACTTTTTGTCTATATATAGTATTTTATGAAATAGTCCAGAGCAGACCACTGTCTGCCCTTACAAACACTTACTAGTGTAACTTGTTCTTCTATGGATATTGATAAAAGTGATGGATCTTCACGTTTTAATATTTGTTGTAATTGTGTATAATCGAGCGTCTAAAGTAAATAAAGAATAACATCTAAGTTATTAAAAAAATAAGTCACTAGTAATCGTACTAGGTATTCAAATTTTGGTTTCAATATAGTTCCATAACTAATTAGAATATCTGATGTGCAGAGTGCATACGAACATAAAATTGGTAAATGTATGTGATTGTTTATTGATGACACAATTTCGATAATTGTTTTTGGTTTTGTTTTCTTCAGTTTATGTAGTTTCAATTCGAATATGTATAGTTTACCAATCTGACTAAGAAGAGTTAATAATAGACGCTAGAACAGATAATAAGTGTGTGAATTCTGTATCAATAGTGTTCTTTCACAGAAAATTGCACAATAAATACTTACATCTTTGCCATCGGTTAATGCACAAACAGAAAATGATATTATTGATTCCGTTAAAGTTAACGTTACACAAGCATTCGATGAATCCTCTTCCCCTTCATTTGTTGATGATGGATGAATTTTCCTGAAAAATTATAGAAATGAAACATGAATGACCAAAGTAGAAACGTTTAGCAATCACATACCAACAACATAAATTTCGATCATTTTCAGCTGAAGAAAACAATAGTGGATGCTCATTTTCTTCGATTAATTTGTCATAAATATAGAATTGTTTAATATTTGTACTATGTCCAGTTAATGTCTAGAACAAACGAGTGTGTTCACGTTTATAGAGAAAAATGCTAGTGCATAAAAATAAAATTAATCTACATCTAACTTAGGTCCTGCTCGAATAAATAACGAATTGAATGACTACTTAATCATTTTTCTTAGACAGATGTAATATCAATAGTATCTCCAAAAAAATTATGTTTACGAGTATGACGCCATGTGCAAACCTGTAATTTTTCTTTATTTTTAATATTCCATATGGTAATATTTTTTGATGCTGACAATAGAAAATGGTTTTTATTATCCAATGCCAGAGATGTAACTGGTCCACTCTTTGAAGCTTTCCAACGTCTAACAATAACAACAAAACAATTCAGAGAACAAGAAGAAAATTTAAATTCAACTTGTGCTGCTTTCAAAAAAAGCACATACATGTATAGAATCTATCGCTCGCACTCCATCACTTGGAGCAAAAATTAAATGTATTCGATAGAGATAAATTAACTTTTTATCGAGACATTTTATTTTTTTTTGAAAAATACACCGTACAGCTATAATAAAATAATTATACATTAGTTGTTGCTTAATGAAGAAGAAAGGAGTGGATATTTACTTTTTAGTGCATTATTCTCACCCTTTGATGCATTTTTCTCCTTCATTCTTTATAAAATTCGATTTGAGCATCTGCTGGTCCGCATCAAGCATCCACCGATTCTATATGTTTCCATCGGTTTCTTCCGCTTGAGAGGCGAATACATAAACCACGTGTATGCTCACAGAGACTGATTGCTTACTAACTCTGATTAGAGGCAAAAAAGACAAAAATCGTACTGTTTCAATGTTCCTGTATTTATTGCCCATTCACATATGTATTTATCATCTGAACATGAATAAAGAATATGTTGTTCAGTTGTTGACCAACATACACTGTTTACTTTGGATGTATGACCATCATGCTAAAGTCAAAAAAAATTTATATCAAAATGACCATCAGTAAACTTCAACTGTGTCGCTTACTAAGTCGGAATGAATTGTGGCTTTGCTAACACTGAATAATAAAATATTTCCAGACGTTGTGCCAATAGCCACTAGATCTAAATGTTTTAATTCTGAATCAATATCTGGGACAGTATTATTCGTTTCGTCTTCTTCTTCCAAGGTACTTTTTGCGTTTGACTGTGTTCGACGTCGTTTCTTTTTTGAAAAATTCTAAAACATGAAAAAAAAGATACAATATAAACCTGAAAAATGGTCATACCCCTTACTTGTTTTAATCCTGATTTAGGTGCCCATGTTAAACAGGTACAGGCCGTATTCAAATGTGAACTCGGTGTAAATTCTGTTTTTAAAAGAGATGTTGATGTATCGTAAAATCGAACGATGCCATCTTGTGAAACAAAGCCGATGATTGAATTATTATTTGATTTTGCTGTAAGACTAACAGATGCCAAATTTGCTAGTGGTGATGACATTGTTATGGATTTATAAGCTTTAACCTAAAATATGAATTTAAAATTGATATACTAGAAGGTGCAATAAACATCGTTGTCAAAACTTGCTGATCAAGATCAAATAAAGCCCATGTTTCGTACCACTCACAATACTTGTGGGAATAAGAGGTTTCAAGATATCAGAATAAGTAGATCGATCCTCCACCGGTTGACTTGCACCTAAGTCAAAACCACAAATAAAGAAAGGATGTGGGAAGGTGTACATCTCTCGACTAATTCAAACATTTGTTGTTTCTTTTTTATTCTGCTATACCTCGGACAATTTTCTTTTTGTTTTATCGAGTCTAGACCTTATTCTGTGGAGAAAATTTCTGTTTTAAATTCCTTCTTGCTATAATAGTCGATTCCTCTTGACGACCCTGACCTAAATGGTCCTTTCTATCAGCAAATAGGAGATGAGAGTGTGACCCGAATAAAGGTAGAAAATAATTAAAAATAGAAGAGTTAAATTTCTCAAAGTCTGTTTATTTTGGAAAAATAACTTTTCAAAAAAACATAGTATTGATAATTATTCATTATCTCAAATCGTACAATCTCTAGTGATGATGGCGCTCTTAAACGGTAGAAGTATTGTCGTTTTAGACAAACTTCTGTAACAAATAACTTGGAGCATTACGGAGTTCAAAAGGCAACGTTTGTACACCATTGATTGTCTACGACATTTCTAGGACTATATTTAACCAGATTATCTGAGAATTAGAGAAAATCATAGGTTCTTTACTCGCACCGCAGCAGTGTTACTATTGTATATTTAGTCTACTTTTTTCTTCCATATGAATGCAGTCGTGAAATTTTAAAAGGGTGTTCGGTGAAAACTGATTCGAAATTCGGACTCTCCATAGTCGGTTACCTTGTACGCAATAAGTTTTGAACGGAGGTACCGTAAAAAAAATTCTCAGTCTCATTCCCCCCCTCCAGGAGCCTCGTAAAAAATTCTTTTGCAAAACGATGAAGAACATTTTTCTGGAATATCCCGATTCAAAACTTGTTGCGTACAAGGTAACCGACTATGGAGAGTCCGAATCTGCGATCAGTTTTGGCCGAATACGCTTTTAAAATTTCTCGACTGAATTGATATGTTTTATACATAGAACAGAGACCATCGCAGGGCAACTTTTTTTGCCCTGCCCTGTCAGAAAATTAGTCAGAAAATTTTTTGGGCTCTGCCCTGTCTGACTGGGCAGGACGCTCTGCAGTGCAAAAGAAAGTTTTTCTCCTTAACCTAGAAGACTTCATCTTCAAGAAACTTCTCACAAATACTGGATGTGTTTCCTGTGGGTAACAGAACTTCTTTTTTATTAATTATTAATTTTAGAAAAGTTGGCTGTCATTTTTATTTTCACATATACGAGAGATCTCAAAATTTTACTTAAAAAGAAGCTTGAAAATCTCAAAAGCCAATCTCTCGCATGGCAAATCAAGGAATTTTTTGTTGCCCTGTTCTGCAACAGCAGGGCAAAAAAATATATCACCCTGCCCGGCAGAACAACAGGACAGCCCTGTCCTGCGATGGTCTCGGACATAGACAATAATTATTGCTACTAGTGATTAGCTGGACCCCGTAACTACCACAGTGTAATCCCGTAACAGTTTTTCTGCATTTTGTTTCTCTTATGATTTTCGAACGAAAACACGCTCAGAGCTACACACAAGGGGGAAACAGCGGACTCCAGACTTCAACACGCCAACTGACTCCACTTGACTCCAAATGACTTCCACTGACTCCACCTGACTCCAGACAAGTCATATCTGACCGGATCTATTAGCCTTTTTTTAAAAACTTGTCATTGTTGTATTCCCATGCTAGAAAAATTGTCGTGTTATGAAATTCGATTCCCAAAAACAGAACAAATTTACTTTTAAAGGCCGCCAATTCCCATAACAGAACAAAAATCTGCGGCTATGGGGATGTTTTCCGGAAAAACTGAACACTTTTGTTCTGTTTCGGGAATAACCCATTAACGAGTTCATACTAGCTCACAGCTCAAGGGAGCTAGAGCTCGTTGAAAAGCTAATGTCCTTCACAGTTGAAATACGCCATCACGTCCCCGGAATCCATCAGACTCCATCGAATCTCATAGGATCTTTTATTTTACCTTCTGAGTACACCACATCAGGTGACTCCAAGTGACTTCACAAGACTGGGATCCCATCTAG